TAATGTTTTTTGTTCATATTAAAGAGCTTTACTCTCTCTTTTCCCTCTCTCTCTCATCCCTCCCTTCTCTTCCTGTCCCTGTCTCTGTCTCTGTCTCTGTCTCTGTCTCTGTCTCTGTCTCTGTCTCTGTCTCTGTTTCTCTCAATACTGAGATTGAGCTCAGGAACACGTACTAGGCAAACACTCCACCACTGAGCTACATCCTTATGCTTTCTATTTTTTCCCTGTTTTTGTTTTTTTTTTTTTTATTTTGTTTTTATTAGTGCATATTGGTTATATTTTAGAAGATAAAGGGGTTTTATTGTGGAAGATCTGTGCATGCATATAACATACTTGGATCACATCATGTCTTCATTGCCCACCCTTACATCTCCCCCCCCCTTTCCCTTCATCTTAACTAATAATAGTCTGCTTTCTAAACTTTTTTTTTTGTCTTTTTGAGGCTGGCCTTGAGCTCACTTTGTAGCCAAGATTGGTCTCGAACACTCAGTGCTCCTCCTGCCTCAGCCTCCCAAGTGCTGCGATTACAGAAGTATGCCACTACACCCTACTTCCCTTCTATTTTCTTTTTTGAGATTTCACATATTAGGGAGGGTATGTGTGATATTTGTCTTTCTGAGTGTGGCTTACTCTGCTCAGCATGATGATCTCCAGGTCATCCATTTTCTGCAAATGACAAAATTTCATTCTTCCTTATGGCTGCATAATACTTCATTATGTATATATCCCTTATTTTCTTTTTCAGTTATCTGTTTATGGGCACCTAGGATGGTTCCCTACCTTGGCTATTGTGTGTTGTGATGCAGTGAACATAGGTATGCAGTACGATAGTATGCTGACTTCAGTTCTTTGGGGTATATGCCAAACAGTTTGCTAGCTCAGTCAAGTGGTGACTCCATTTTTAGTTTTTTGATGAATGTCCATAGTAATTTCCACAGTAGCTATATTAATTTACATTCCCACCAACAGCATAAAAATGGCCTTTGCCTCCCCTCCTTCTACACCCTTGCCTACATTTATTGGTTTTTGTATTTTTGATGATAACCATTCTCACCAGAGTGAGATGGAATTTTGTTATTTTTTTATTTATAGTTCCTTAATCAGCCCTTGTTTATTCAAGACAAGATCTTGCTAAAATGCCCAAGCTGGCCTCAAATTTGAGATCTCACTACCTCAGCTTTCCCAAGTAGCTGGGATCATGACTATGTAATACTAAGCTTGACAAAGAAGTCTACTTTTATAATGATGTTAGCTCTCTGTCTTTAATGTGCATATTATACAATTCTTTTTTGTCATATCTACTTATTATTTTACCTATAAAAATTCAGTTTTGATATTTGTTGCACACATGTACATTCTTTGATTTATCAGCCTTTTCCTTTGTGATCTATTTTGCTACTTCTAAAATTACAAGCCAGGAATGGTGTTGTTATCTTAGAAAGGTAATTTTTCTTTCTAAAATTTATTACTGGGCTGGAGGTATAGCTCTGTATTAGAATCTATGCTTAGCACATGCAAGGCCCTGGCTTCACTTCCAGCAACAAAACATACAAACAAAAAAATTTAAAGATAAAATTAAGTTTATTCCTGGACATGGTGGCACATGTCTATGATCCCAGTACTTGTGAGGCTGAGGCAGGAGGATTTCTATGAGTTCTAGGTCAGCCTGGGCTACATAATGAGTTCAAGAAAGGCTGGACTGAACTATATAGCAAGACCCTCTCTCAACACTATAATAATGTTCATTTACTGAAAACTTTTTTGGACTAATGATCAGAACTATATCAAATCACAAATTGTAGGAATGATTGACATTTTCATATTGTTCAGGTTTTGTGTTTTAAGAACAGAAGTGGAAATCATTGTCCTAGAGAAGCTCTCTTACAAATATACACATAGACAGGCAAAAAAATATGTATTTCAGAAATATTAGTAATAATAATCCATCAAAAACAGTTAGTACCTGGAGAAAAGGTAAATAAATTGGGGTATAGAGGCAGTAGGATGCTTTATGGCAAGCATTCAAGGAGGCTGCTTCAGCTGACATACTCCCCCTCTTTCCTTTCTTTTCCTTTCCTTTCCTTTCCTTTCCTTTCCTTTCCTTTCCTTTCCTTTCCTTTCCTTTCCTTTCCTTTCTTTCTTTCCTTCCTCTTCCTCTTCCTCTTCCTCTTCCTCTTCTTCTCCCTCTCTCTCCCTCCCCCTCACCTTTGGTGGTACTTAAGGTTGAACCCAGGAGCTAAACACATGTTAGGCATGTGCTCCACATCTCAGGCCTTTTAAATTTTAGTTTGGGACAAGATATCCCTGTGTTTCCCAGACTGGGGTGGGACTTAGGATTCTCCTGCATCAGCCTCCTGAATAGCTGGGATTATAGTATCTGGGCATTAAACCACCATGCCCAGATCAGTAGTTTTGTGCTTTTAAGTTATTACATTATTCTTTAAAAAATACTTCATTTAAGGCCTGTGAGATAGCTCAGTGGCCTAAGTGCCTGCTTAAACAAGTGCAGGGACCAAGGTTTGATCCCAGGCATCACATTTTACACTCACCTTGCCCCTGGGCAGCTGAGCAGGCCACCAAGATTAGGTGTGGTGGCACATGCCTGTAATCCCAGCACTGAGGAGGCTGAAAACAGGAGAATCACTGTAAGTCTTAACTGTGTAGTGACACCCTGTACCCAATACATGAAATAAAAGGGAGGGGGCCACTGGGGATTTAACTCAGTGGTAGAACACTTGCCCAGCAAGCTGGAAGCCCTAGGTTTGGTCCTTGGCACCAAAACAACAACAACAAAAAATCCAAAAACAACAACAAAAAACCCAAAATATTTCATTTAAATTTTATTAACTGTTTAAATATTTATTTAAAATTTAATGTTTTATTAAATATTGATGTAAATTAGCTATTAAATTAAATTACATTAATATTTTTTGGAGTTTGTTTGTTTTGGAGACAGGGTCTCATTATATAGCCCAGGCTGGCGTTGAACTCATGGTGGCCTCCTACCTGAGCCTCTCAAGTACTAGGATCATAGCCATGCACCAGCATGCCAGGGATTAATATTATTTTTATAAATAATTGCATACACTTATAGGGTACAGTGTGAACTTGTGTTATGCATATACAATGTGCAATGATTAAATCAAAGTAATTGATCTATCTCTTCCATTATTTGCCTACCATTGTTATGGTAAAACATTTCAAATTTACTTAGTTATTTTAAAACATGGAATGCATTATCTACTGTAGTCATCCTGCAGTGCAACAGATCTCAAAACCTATTCCTTCTGTCTTAAACTTTATACCCAATCACTTATAAAGCCCCCATTCCCTCCCTTCTCACCTGCTCAGCGCCTGATAACCATCATTCAACCCTGTAGTTTCACTTGCTTTAGATTCCATGTGTAAGTGAGATCAGTGGTATTTCTTTCTATGCCTGGTTTATTTCACTTGGCATAATGTCCTGCAGATTTCATCCAAGATGTCACAAGTGACAGGATTTCTCCCCCTTTTTAAGGCTGAATAGTATTCTATTATGTAGATATGTCATATTTTTCTTATCCATAAGTACACTGATGTCCATTAGGCTGATTTCCTACATGGCTTTTATGAGTAATGCTGCATGAAGTATGGAAATGTAGGTATCCTTTCAACATACTAATACCAGCTTGTTTGGATGCACACCCAAAAGTGGGATTGCTGGATCAGTTGGTATTTCTACTTTAAGTTTTTGAGGAACCTCCATACCATTTTCCTTTATGGTTGTACTGATTTACACACACACACCCTCAACAACATACAAGAGTTCCCTTTTAACTGCATCCTCACCAACACTTGTGTTTCATCCTTTTGATTCTAGCCAGAGGTGTGGCCCACTCTGGCCATAATCTTTGCATTCTCTGTGGGAAGGAAGACAGATAGATATGTCATCAGAAGAAACAGGAGTCAAGTAACCCTGGAAATTTTCTTGTTTTCCATTTACTGTTCTGTTTTTTTTTTAATACTGAGTTTATTTCACATGTATATTTGTCTCCCTACCATCTCCATGTCTGACCATCACTACTACTGTGTCTTATTATAACATTCCATATATACTTAAAACCAAGTAAAAGGTGGAGTTCCATCTTCAAAAACTAAACGGGCATTTCAGACAACACATTCTTGGCAATGGGACCTATACAACATTTATCAAACATGGTAGGGAAAGTTCTCACTTTGTATTATAAAAAGGATAGCCAGATAGCAACTGTCACAGAAATGAAATAATATGGAAAACTTTAACAAACTGTTTAAACTGTTCTCTTTTTTATTTATTTTTTATTGAGAAATAAATATGAATGAGACAGTTTCACAGCTGATTAATAGGACAGTTTTGATAGTCAATACACTGTACATTGTTATCTTCCTAGTGGTTATCCATAGTACAAGAAACAGACAGGATATTCTGTCCAAACACTGTTAGTACACCTCTTTCTTCTCATTGAATTAAGCA